CCTACCCGTACCCGGCCGCACCAGGGTCGCGGCCGGGTACCCGTACCCGGCCGAGTACGGGTAGCCGGGTATCGGGTAGGGTACGGGTATTGGGTACCCGGTTGCGACCTCTGCCGCAGCCAGAACGGCACCGCGTGCCGGGGTCCCACGCGGCGCATCGCCGCTCCCTTCCACCGCTTTGCTGAACCCTACCGAACGCCGCGAGGGCCACAGCTCGCTGCTGCGGCCTTGTTGGGGCCATACAAAAACACGCACACACACACACACATGTTGTTCCCGTGCCAGTGCATCGCCAGCAGGCCCGTCGCCCTAAAAGGTCGAGTTGCATCGTTCAGGGAGCCGAGCTCGAACCGATTTGGCAGCACGTGCGTCGACTCTACGCGGGGGCTGCGGGGCAAATGAAGGCGCCAAACTCCGGTCGATGAATAAACAAAAGTCACGTTTATTTGACGAGAGCAGCAACGGAAATCGAGCGCACCACACGTCCTCGGCGCGCCTGTGTTACGCCGAGCCCACCGTGGTCCTATCGTAACGTGAACTGGTTCACCGGCGTAGCAGCGACGGGCATCTCCGCGTCCGCTTCGAGTGCGGGAACGCGCGTGCGAGCGGCACGCTTGGTTATTTCCCCAGCGTTCTCCCCCCCGACATGAGCTGAAAAAAGTGCTGGGCTCTTCTGATGCCATCAACACAGGATGCAGGCAGAAGAACACAGCAACGAAAATATAATAATATATGGTGGTGGTGGTGACGATGGTGATGACGATGGTGACGATGTTGATGACGTTGGTGACGATGGTCATGACGATGGTGACGACAGTGATGACGATGGTTATGACGATGGTGACGATGGTGATGAAGATGGTGATGATGGTGATGAAGATGGTGACGACAGTGATGACGATGGTGATGACGATGGTGACGATGGTGATGAAGATGGTGACGATGGTGATGATGGTGATGACGATGGTGACGATGATGATGACGATGGTGACGATGGTGATGACGATGATGACGACAGTGATGACGACGGTGATGAAGATGGTGATGACGATGGCCACACACTCGCCGGCAAGCGCTGGGGGCATGTCACGGTCGCCTCATCCCCACGGGGCTGTTGGGGGAACGCGCCGAGCGGACATCAACAAAAGGGCACCGTCGAAGTTTGAAGGCGTGAGTGAGGGAGTGAACGCGTTTTGCCGAGCTCGGCCAGAGGTGATGGGAGGGAATTCCAATGTGGAGGAGACGGATAATTGTTTCGAACCGAAGTGCAGTGGCTGAGTGGGGTTTCAAGTGAGTGGGGTGAGCGGGCGAGCGAGCGAGTGAGTGAATGTGTTTGTGACCTGCAGTGTGATGGATGAACACAGTCGAGATGAAGCAGTCTCGTGGACAGAGTCCTCGGCGCCACGAGTAGAGGAACGTGGCAAGCGACATTCGTGGGAACGATGACTCTGCCTCGCTGCGATCCGTGAGTCAGCAACAACTTCCACGCGGGACCGAAGATTGTTGCCCAGACCCCGGGAGGGGAGCTTACAAAACTTAATCATGAGGTGGAAGAGAGAGAGAGAGGAGAGACACGAAGAGCCTGCGGTTTGTTGTGCTTGGCCGTGTCGATTTCAGGGGCCTTTGTTTGGGTTTTTTGGCAGGCGCAGTGCGGCGTGCGCGCCACGTGGAGGCAGCCAACTTTGCCGACCGCACGGGACTCCACTCCAGCACCCCCTCCCCGCACGCGGGAAGCCACCCCGACACATTACGACACATTACGCAAATCATTCATTGCCGCGGGTGCCCTACAGAGTCATCGGCGTTCGCTGTCGGTGTTAACTGGCGGCCGGAGCTGAGCGCAGGCAGCGGCTGCTGTGACGCTACTGGGGGGCTGGGAGCCTGTTGGGGGGGGGGGGGGCTGGGAGCCTGTTGGGGGGGGGGGGGGGGCTGGGACCCTGTTGGGGGGGGGGCTGGGAGCCTGTTGGGGGGGGGGCTGGGAGCCTGTTGGGGGGGGGTCTGGGAGCCTGTTTGGGGGGGGGGGCTGGGAGCCTGTTGGGGGGGGGGGGCTGGGAGCCTGTTGAGGGGGGGGAGCTGGGAGCCTGTTGGGGGGGGGGGGCTGGGACCCTGTTGGGGGGGGGGGCTGGGAGCCTGTTGGGGGGGGGCTGGGAGCCTGTTGGGGGGGGTCTGGGAGCCTGTTTGGGGGGGGGGGCTGGGAGCCTGTTGGAGGGGGGGCTGGGAGCCTGTTTGGGGGGGGGGGCTGGGAGCCTGTGGGGGGGGGGGGGCTGGGAGCCTGTTGAGGGGGGGGGCTGGGAGCCTGTTTGGGGGGGGGCTGGGAGCCTGTTGAGGGGGGGGAGCTGGGAGCCTGTTGGGGGGGGGGGCTGGGAGCCTGTTGAGGGGGGGGAGCTGGGAGCCTGTTGAGGGGGGGGAGCTGGGAGCCTGTTGGGGGGGGGGGCTGGGAGCCTGTTGAGGGGGGGGGCTGGGAGCCTGTTGGGGGGGGGAGCTGGGAGCCTGTTGGGGGGGGGGCTGGGAGCCTGTTGAGGGGGGGGGCTGGGAGCCTGTTGAGGGGGGGGGCTGGGAGCCTGTTGAGGGGGGGGGCTGGGAGCCTGTTGAGGGGGGGGGGCTGGGAGCCTGTTGAGGGGGGGGGGGCTGGGAGCCTGTTGAGGGGGGGGGCTGGGAGCCTGTTGGGGTGGAGCTGGGAGCCTGTTGAGGGGGGGGGAGCTGGGAGCCTGTTGAGGGGGGGGGGCTGGGAGCCTGTTGAGGGGGGGGGCTGGGAGCCTGTTGAGGGGGGGGGGGCTGGGAGCCTGTTGAGGGGGGGGGGCTGGGAGCCTGTTGAGGGGGAGGGCTGGGAGCCTGTTGAGGGGGGGGCTGGGAGCCTGTTGAGGGGGGGGGGGCTGGGAGCCTGTTGAGGGGGGGGCTGGGAGCCTGTTGAGGGGGGGGGGCTGGGAGCCTGTTGAGGGGGGGGAGCTGGGAGCCTGTTGAGGGGGGGGGCTGGGAGCCTGTTGAGGGGGGGGGCTGGGAGCCTGTTGGGGTGGAGCTGGGAGCCTGTTGAGGGGGGGGGCTGGGAGCCTGTTGAGGGGGGGGCTGGGAGCCTGTTTGGGGGGAGGGGGCTGGGAGCCTGTTGAGGGGGGGGGCTGGGAGCCTGTTGAGGGGGGGGCTGGGAGCCTGTTTGGGGGGGTGGAGCTGGGAGCCTGTTGAGGGGGGGGGCTGGGAGCCTGTTGAGGGGGGGGCTGGGAGCCTGTTGAGGGGGGGCGGGCTGGGAGCCTGTTGAGGGGGGGGGGCTGGGAGCCTGTTGAGGGGGGGGGGGCTGGGAGCCTGTTGAGGGGGGGGGGGCTGGGAGCCTGTTGGGGGGGGGGGGCTGGGAGCCTGTTGGGGGGGGGGGGCTGGGAGCCTGTTGAGGGGGGGGGGGCTGGGAGCCTGTTGGGGGGGGGGGGCTGGGAGCCTGTTGAGGGGGGGGGGCTGGGAGCCTGTTGAGGGGGGGGGGGCTGGGAGCCTGTTGAGGGGGGGGGGGGCTGGGAGCCTGTTGGGGGGGGGGGGCTGGGAGCCTGTTGGGGGGGGGGGGCTGGGAGCCTGTTGAGGGGGGGGGGCTGGGAGCCTGTTGAGGGGGGGGGGCTGGGAACCTGTTGAGGGGGGGGGCTGGGAGCCTGTTGGGGGGGGCTGGGAGCCTGTTGAGGGGGGGGCTGGGAGCCTGTTGGGGGGGGGGGGCTGGGAGCCTGTTGAGGGGGGGGGGGGCTGGGAGCCTGTTGAGGGGGGGGGGGCTGGGAGCCTGTTGGGGGGGGCTGGGAGCCTGTTGAGGGGGGGGCTGGGAGCCTGTTTGGGGGGGGGAGCTGGGAGCCTGTTTGGGGGGGGGCTGGGAGCCTGTTGGGGGGGTCTGGGAGCCTTTTGAGGGGGGGGGGCTGGGAGCCTGTTGAGGGGGGGGGGCTGGGAGCCTGTTGAGGGGGCGGGGGGGCTGGGAGCCTGTTGAGGGGGGGGGGGCTGGGAGCCTGTTGAGGGGGGGGGGGCTGGGAGCCTGTTGAGGGGGGGGGCTGGGAGCCTGTTGGGGGGGGCTGGGAGCCTGTTGAGGGGGGGGGCTGGGAGCCTGTTGAGGGGGGGGGCTGGGAGCCTGTTGAGGGGGGGGGGGCTGGGAGCCTGTTGAGGGGGGGGGGGCTGGGAGCCTGTTGGGGGGGGGGGCTGGGAGCCTGTTGAGGGGGGGGAGCTGGGAGCCTGTGAGGGGGGGGGGGCTGGGAGCCTGTTGAGGGGGGGGAGCTGGGAGCCTGTTGGGGGGGGGGGCTGGGAGCCTGTTGAGGGGGGGGGCTGGGAGCCTGTTGGGGGGGGGGGCTGGGAGCCTGTTGAGGGGGGGGCTGGGAGCCTGTTGAGGGGGGGAGCTGGGAGCCTGTTGAGGGGGGGGGCTGGGAGCCTGTTGGGGGGGGGGCTGGGAGCCTGTTGAGGGGGGGGAGCTGGGAGCCTGTTGAGGGGGGGGGCTGGGAGCCTGTTGGGGGGGGGGCTGGGAGCCTGTTGAGGGGGGGGGCTGGGAGCCTGTTGAGGGGGGGGGCTGGGAGCCTGTTGAGGGGGGGGAGCTGGGAGCCTGTTGGGGGGGGGCTGGGAGCCTGTTGAGGGGGGGGCTGGGAGCCTGTTGGGGGGGGGGCTGGGAGCCTGTTGGGGGGGGCTGGGAGCCTGTTGAGGGGGGGGGCTGGGAGCCTGTTGGGGGGGGGGGCTGGGAGCCTGTTGAGGGGGGGGGCTGGGAGCCTGTTGGGGGGGGGGGGCTGGGAGCCTGTTGAGGGGGGGGGCTGGGAGCCTGTTGGGGGGGGGAGCTGGGAGCCTGTTGAGGGGGGGGGCTGGGAGCCTGTTGGGGGGGGGGGCTTGGAGCCTGTTGGGGGGGGGAGCTGGGAGCCTGTTGAGGGGGGGGCTGGGAGCCTGTTGGGGGGGGGGGAGCTGGGAGCCTGTTGGGGGGGGGGAGCTGGGAGCCTGTTGGGGGGGGGTTGGGACCCTGTTGAGGGGGGGGGGCTGGGAGCCTGTTGGGGGGGGGCTGGGACCCTGTTGGGGGGGGGGCTGGGAGCCTACTGGGGGGGGGGGGCTGTATTTCTATCTGCACCATATCCGGTGTTGCTGAACTCCGGATCCTGCTCCGTGTATCCATCAGCCCCGAGCCCAGTAAGTTGAGATGTCACATTTCTCTGGCAGCGTAGCGAGCGAGTCTACGCGTAGCGCAACCGCCGTTCGATTCCCCACGGAGCGGCCCGGAGGGAGGCACGGAGAGCCGAGGCAACGCAACAACGAGCATTCGAACTCCGCAACCCTCTCTCTCCGCACAATAAGCCATCGCCCCTCATCTCTTCACGTCAACAAGTGTCCCCCACCCTGCCCCCCACCGTCTCGCAACCCCCGCTCGTGGCCTGCAGCGACAACGACCGCCGTCGAGGGAGGAGACCCGAGGGGGCGCGGGGGGGGGGGGGGTCGTGCACCCCCACTCCGAAGCGTCACTTGCGGTTGGGCGTCTCGGGTCCGCGCCGCGCGGCGCAGTCGAGGTCGCCGCGCACGACGGGCGAGCCAGGCGCGTGCACGCCCGTGTCCGCGTGCACGCACCAGCACTCGCCTCGCTGCCCGCTCAGCGACGTGCGGCACTGCGCGCGGCGGCGGCGCGAGCCGCAGCACGCCGGGGGAGGGGTGGGGAGGGGGGTGGAGAGGGAGGGTGGGTGAGGGGGGGGGAGGAGAGGGAGGGGTGGGTGGGTGGGAGGGGAGGGAGGGTGGGTGGACGGGAGGGAGGTATGGAGGGGAGGGAGGGTGGGAGGGAGGGTGGGTAGAAGGGAGGGAGGGGAGGGAGAGTGGGGAGGGAGGGGAAGGTAGGAGGGAGGGGAGGGAGGGTGGGTGGAAGGGAAGGTAGGAGGGAGGGGAGGGAGGGTGGGTGGAAGGGAGGGGAGGGAGAGTGGGAGAGGAGATGGGAGGGGAGGGAGGGGAGGGAGTGGAAGGTAGGAGGGAGGGGAGGGAGGGTGGGAGGGGAAGGTAGGAGGGAGGGGAGGATGGGAGAAGAGGGGGGAGGGGAGGGAGGGAGGAGAGGGAGGGGAAGGTAGGAGGGAGGGGAGGGAGGGGTAACGTCACGCAACGAGCAGTAACAACAGGGGCTTGCCACCCTCGGCTGGTAGAGGCCGTCACAGATGAATGAATGAGTGAGCAAGCGAACGAACGAGCGAGTGGACGAGTGGGTGGGTGGGTGAGTGAGCGAGTGGATGTGTGGGTGAGTGGGTGGGTGGGTGTGTGGGTGGGTGGGTGGGTGTGTGAGTGAGCGAGTGGATGTGTGGGTGAGTGGGTGGGTGGGTCAGTGGGTGGGCGAGTGGGTGGGTGGGTTAGTGGGTGGGTGGGTGAGTGGGTGAGTGGGTGGGCGAGTGGATGTGTGGATGGGTGAGTGAGCGAGTGGATGTGTGGATGGGTGAGTGAGCGAGTGGATGTGTGGGTGGGTGAGTGGGTGAGTGGGTGGGTGGGCGAGTGGATGTGTGGGTGGGTGAGTGGGTGGGTGGGTGAGTGGGTGGGTGGGTGAGTGGATGAGTGGGTGGGTGGGTGAGTGGGTGGGTGAGTGGGTGGGTGGGTGGGTGAGTGGATGAGTGGGTGAGTGAGTAGGTGAGTGGGTGGGTGGGCGAGTGGATGTGTGGGTGGGTGAGTGGGTGGATGTGTGGGTGGGTGAGTGGGTGAGTGGGTGAGTGGGTGGGTGGGTGAGTGGGTGGGTGAGTGGGTGGGTGGCCACCTGCTTGGCGTGGTAGAGGCCGTCGCGGCTGCAGTTGGGGATGTAGAGGAGGTAGAGCTCCTCCAGTGGGACGCGCTCCTCGCGCGAGCGCCGCTGCAGCCGCTCGATCTTCTCCACCACCGCCTCGAGCTCCTGCAGGCACTGAGCAGCAGCAGCAGCAGGAGCAGCAGTAGCAGGAGCAACAGCAGCAGCAGGAGTATGAGCAGCAGCAACAGGAGCAGCAGCAGGAGCAGCAGCAGTAGCAGGAGCAACAGCAGCAGCAGGAGCAGCAGCAGCAGCAGGAGGAGCAGCAGCAACAGGAGCAGCAGCAGTAGCAGAAGCAGCAGCAGCAGTAGCAGGAGCAGCAGCAACAGCAGCAGCAGCAGGAGCAGCAGGAGCAGCAGCAGGAGCAGCAGCAGCAGCAGCGTCCACCAGCAGCACTTGAGCAGCGGCACTACCAGCACCGGTGTTCATTGCGTGCTCGTGAAGGGGTCGAGGGGATGGGTGGTGGGGTGGGTGGTGGTGTGGGTGGTGAGGTGGGTGGTGGGGTGGGGTGGGTGGTGGGGTGGGTGGTGGGGTGGGGTGGGGTGGGTGGTGGGGTGGGGTGGGTGGTGGGTGGTGGGGTGGGGTGGTGGGGTGGGGTGGGGTGGTGGGGTGGGTGGTGGGGTGGGTGGTGGGGTGGGTGGTGGGGTGGGGTGGTCCAGGACTGATTCTGATTTCACTCCCACCGACTGCTGTTAGCCGGTTGCCGGGAATCGAACCGGCGTGGCTATAATCTTCATATTTCGATTTAAAGCTTTCGTGACTGCAGGGATTCATCTTCTTGGTTCTTTCGGTAAAGTCACGTAGAAGGGAAATAATAAACTAAGAAAAATAAAACATAATAAAATACAATTTTCACGACGTTTCAGCCACAACGCAAGCAGCCGTCCCCAGGTGAAGAACAGCGTCCATTCAGACGCTGTCTTTCCGACAGCCCTGTTTCGGGCGCAACACAAGCGTCCGTCATCAGGTGGGAAATCATGGCCTGCTGCCCCAGCAGCTTATGTTGCGCCCGAAACGTCGTGATTTATTGTATTTTCTACCCACGTGACTTTACCGAAAGAACCAAAAAGCACGGCGTGGCTACGTTCGCTGCGCTGCGCGCTCCCCACTGCACCACCGCCCCGGCTCGCTGCAACCTGCACCACCCAGACCCACCCCCCCACCCCACCCCTCCTCACAGGTGGCAACCAACCCCCCGGCACCCACTCACCGGGCCGTGCCTCCCCCAGGGCTTCACGTGCCGCGGGTTGGCGCTGCCCTCCGGCAGGGCGTTTGGCCGAAAGTTCGCGTGCTGCCTGCCGGCTTGCTGCTGCTGCTGCTGTTGGGGGAGGCTGCGTCCACCGCCCTCCCTGCTGCCGTTGTGCATGCGGCGGCGCTCCTGGCCCTGCTTCTGCACGCGCTCCCGATGCACCGCCACGGACTTGCCGTCGTCGGGATGCGAGGTCCGCGCCGGCAGGGGCAGCGGCTGGGGTTGCGCGGGTCCTGCTGCAGGGGGGGCTCCTGCACCGTCGACGTTGCTCGCGACGTCCGCGGACGAAGCCTCCTCGTCCTTGTCCGTGTTGTTCGCCTCTGCGCCACGGGCACCGTTAAACATTCCACCATCTCCTCCACCACCTCCTTCACCTCCTCCTCCTCCTCCACGCAGAGCCCTCTCTTGAGAGACCACTTCTACGTTCCGTGTTTAGACCCCCCCCCCCCCCCGTCTCTCTGCTCTCTGTGTGGAAACCTGCGTTTATATGCGAATGAGGATGGAGTTAATAAAATAATAAAAATAAAACATGATAAAATCATTCTCACGACGTTTCGGCCACAACGCAAGCAGCCGTCCTCAGGTGAAAACCAGGTCTGTCGGGGAGACAGACAGAGACGCTGTCTCCCCGACAGACCTGGTTTTCACCTGAGGATGGCTGCTTGCGTTGTGGCCGAAACGTCGTGAGAATTATTTTATTATGTTTTATTTTTATTATTTTATTACTTCCCTTCTACGTGACTTTACCGAAAGAACCAAGAAGATGAATCCCTGCAGTCACGAAAGCTTTAAATCGATAAATGAGGATGGAGTTACTGATGATGATCATGACGGAGTAGCGATAGTGAATGAAGCCTCACAGAGCATTTGGGCACAATTGTAGTGGTGGTGGTGGTGGGTTCGTGCCGCGCGTCGTTCTTGTGCGTGCGCTCGAGAGGGAACCTCATTCAAGAGCCGAATGGCTCACAGGGTTATTCCTAATAAATGAACTTGAACTCATGGGAATCGCACTTTTGAGGAGGCCACACAGCCCAGGCGCTCGGCTCCCAGACACAACGACCAACCCCCGTGACGCCGATCGTTATTGCCCGCAGTGCAAGGTTAATCATTACCCGTGTCAACATGTTTACGAGCGCTCTCGCCGTCATCGCTCAAAGGTCCAAGTGATTTCCCCTCTCTATATTTAAGGCCCCGTCACAGAGACGGCCTCTCTCTTTGTGCCGATACGTGTTCTCTCTCTGTGTGTATCTTTATGATGTCTGTCTGCTTATATGTCTGCCTATAGTTTTCTGGTTAGATTTTTGTTGCTATTTCTTTTATACCTGACGATGAAGATTGCTTGTGTTGCAATCGAAACGTCGTAGTATGCTATTATTTAATTTATTATTTTATCTTTATACGTGACTTTACCGAAAGAACCAAAGAATAATTCCTGCAGTCACGAAAGCTCCAAAATTAAGATTGAATGTTTTTTGTAGTTAGATCGCGTCAGTATAAATGTGTCGTAGCCCTACACCACCCGACACAGCCAATCAGCAAAGGATTTGTCACGTAATCAAGACGCCAATTAGTTCCTAGTATAGTGTGTGTGGTGCAGTGTGTAGTGTACTGCTTCAGCCCAGCGGCGTGTTGGAGAGCAAATCCACAACATTTACAATTTGAGTACGACGTTTCGCTGGTAATTACATCCAGCATCATCGGACGATTATCAATAATATTGGTCGCGAAAGCCTGCGCGTTAAACTGATACTCCCCCTCCCCGCACCCCCTGCTCAGATGAGCGGTGCCCATCAGCCGCGGCGAATATTCCGCAAGCCCGTGTGCGAGCCCAACCGGTGCTCGATCAATAAAAAGGATACGAACCGGCAAATCGCGAGTCGCTCCCTCTAACCCCTCGCTGATCAACCTGGGCCCTGTCTGCGCACTCCCCCCGAGTGCGCAGTTACACCTAACCTGGCACAGCAGTCATCCCATAGCTGCTGCTGCTGGGTCTGTCCCCTGACCTCCTCCTGCACGTAACCTGGCACAGAATTCAACCCATGGCACCTGCTGAGTCTAGTCCCGTGACCTCCTCCTGCACATAGCCTGGCACAGCAGTCATCCCATGGCTGCTGCTGGGTCTGTCCCGTGACCTCATCCTGCACATAGCCTGGCACAGCAGTCAACCCATGGCACTACCTGGATCTGTTCCGTGACCTCTTATTGCACCTAGTCTGGCACAGCAGTCAACCCATATCACCTGCTGGGTCTGTGACGTGACCTCCTGCACCTAACCTGGCACAGCAGTCAACAATTGACACCTGCTGGGTCTGTCCCGTGACCTCCTCCTCCTGCACCTAGCCTGGCACAGTAGTCCACCCATGCCACCTGCTGGGTCTGTCCCGTGACCTCCTCCTCCTGCACCTAGCCTGGCACAGCAGTCAACCCATGGCACCTGCAGGGTCTGTCCCGTGACCTCCTCCTGCACCTAGCCTGGCACAGCAGTCCACCAATGGCACCTGCTGGGTCTGTCCCGTGACCTCCTCCCCCTGCACCTAGCCTGGCACAGCAGTCAACCCATGGCACCTGCTGGGTCTGTCCCGTGACCTCCTCCTCCTGCACCTAGCCTGGCACAGCAGTCCACCCATGGCACTTGCAGGGTCTGTCCCGTGACCTCCTCCTCCTGCACCTAGCCTGGCACAGCAGTCCACCCATGGCACCTGCAGGGTCTGTCCCGTGACCTCCTCCTCATGCACCTAGCCTGTCACAGCAGTCCACCCATGGCACCTGCAGGGTCTGTCCAGTGACCTCCTCCTCATGCACCTAGCCTGGCACAGCAGTCCACCCATGCCACCTGCAGGGTCTGTCCGCAAATATCGCCCAGGTGGATCTGGGCCCTCGAGGGAGTGCTCAGCGGGAGCACCGCGTCCCACCCAACCCCAAACCCCTAACCGAGCCCCACCGCTCACCGCGCTTGGCGCTGCTGGTGCAGATGCCGCGTCCACGCACCAGCGAGTGCAGGGGTCTCTCCTCGCCGGGCCGCGGGTAGCAGCGGAGACCCATGCCGCAGCGCGGTGTGTACACCCCGCACGCCTCGCCCTGGCGCGCCGCGCACACCCGCGCAGCACCCGCAGCCCGGCTCCCGCGCCAGCTCGGGGCACCACGGGGGCGCCGTGGGGCAGCGCGACAGCGTCTCGGTCGAGCACGGCGGGCAGCCGAAAGCGGACTGCGTCTGCGTTGCGTCGACGAGCAGCGATGATGACGAGGAGGAGGACGAGGAGGAAGAGGAGGAAGAGGCGGCGCGTAAGCACGGAGCGCGTGCCACGGCCGTGAGCAGCACGAGGGAGCTCAGCAGGAATCTCGACATCGTCGCCAGCGTCGTCACCGACATCGTCGGTCGTGCTGCTCGCACGAGACCTGCTGACAACAACAACAACGACGACCACCTCCTCCTCCTCCTCCACTGGATGACGGGGAGATGGCAGGCGAAGTCGCCACGGCGTGCGCGCGCGCAGGCCCCCGCCCCTCTCTCCTCCCTCCCCCCTCCTTCACGCAGCCGCGCAGCTCGTGGAGACGGCGATCCTGGGGATGGGACACGGCCGGGTGGAGAGAGGGGGAGGAGGTGGCAGGGAGGGAGGGGGAGGAGGGGGCTGGGAGGGAGGGGGAGGAAGAGGCTGGGAGGGGGAGGAGGGGGCTGGGAGGGAGGAGGGGGCTGGGAGGGAGGGTGAGGAGGGGGCTGGGAGGGAGGGGGAGGAGGAGGCTGGGAGGGAGGGAGGGTGAGGAGGGGGCTGGGAGGGAGGGGGAGGTAGAGTCTGGGAGGGAGGGGGAGGAAGAGGCTGGGAGAGAGGGGGAGGAGGGGGCTGGGAGGGAGGAGGAGGCTGGGAGGGAGGGGGAGGTAGAGTCTGGGAGGGAGGGGGAGGAAGAGGCTGGGAGGGAGGGGGAGGAGGTGGATGGGAGAGAGGGGGAGGAGGTGGCTGGGAGGGAGGAGGAGGAGGGGGCTGGGAGGGAGGGGGAGGAGGAGGCTGGGAGGGAGGAGGAGGAGGGGGCTGGGAGGGAGGGGGAGGAAGAGGCTGGGAGGGAGGGGGAGGAGGTGGCTGGGAGGGAGGAGGAGGAGGGGGCTGGGAGGGAGGGGGAGGAGGAGGCTGGGAGGGAGGAGGAGGAGGGGGCTGGGAGGGAGGGGGAGGAAGAGGCTGGGAGGGAGGGGGAGGAGGTGGATGGGAGAGAGGGGGAGGAGGTGGCTGGGAGGGAGGAGGAGGAGGGGGCTGGGAGGGAGGGGGAGGAGGAGGCTGGGAGGGAGGAGGAGGAGGGGGCTGGGAGGGAGGGGGAGGAAGAGGCTGGGAGGGAGGAGGGGGCTGGGAGGGAGGAGGAGGCTGGGAGGGAGGGTGAGGAGGGGGCTGGGAGGGAGGGGGAGGAGGAGGTTGGGAGGGAGGGAGGGTGAGGAGGGGGCTGGGAGGGAGGGAGAATGAGGAGGGGGCTGGGAGGGAGGGGGAGGAGGAGGCTGGGAGGAGGGGGCTGGGAGGGAGGGGGGAGGAGGAGGAGGCTGGTAGGGGAGGGGGCGGAGGGGGCGGAGGGGGCTGGGAGGGAGGGGGCGGAGGGGATGGGAGGGAGGGCGAGGAGGGGGCTGGGAGGGAGGGGGAGGAGGGGGCTGGGTGGGAGGGGGAGGAGATGGCTGGGAGGGAGGGGGGGAGGTGGATGGGAGGGAGGGTGAGGAGGGGGCTGGGGGGGAGGGTGAGGAGGAGGCGTAGTGGGCGAGGAGGGTTTTCGCCCCCCCCCCCCCCCGGGCGAGGTGGGCTGGGTGGGGATGGAGGCACCACGCCGAGTCTCGCGGTCCGCCTCAGTCGACGCTGGCGGCGTCACTCACCACAACGCTGCAGTGGGGGGCTATGAGGGGGGGGGGGGCGTTAGGGTGGCCTGCGGTGGAAGTGGAGGGAGGGGCTCAGTGCCGGATAAGTTAGTGCGGGGCATGTCGCATATGATGTTATAAAAGGGCCCTAAATGCAAAAAAAAATCACGTAGATATTAAAACAGAAATGTTTTACTCGCATAGTAAAGTAATTGTATTTTATCATTTGCTATACAGCCAGACAATACCACAAATCGCTCGCCTTAGACACACGGCCATTCATAAAAGTTGAAGGCGGTATCGTACTATAGTAATAAAGCACGTGCAGGATCACCGAATCAAAATTGATGGCTTGAAAGAAAGCATTTAGCGCGTGGCCCATGAAAGTACGGGGCCCGTAGCTACTACGTATGTTGTAGTAGCTGCATATTTAGCATCTACTACATATGTAGTATATTTAGCTATATATAGCTAAATTTCGATTTAAAGCTTTCGTGACTGCTGGGATTCATCTTCTTGGTTCTTTCGGTAAAGTCACGTAGAAGGGAAATAATAAAAGAAAAAAACATAATAAAATATTAATTTTATTATGTTTTATAAATTAATTATTTTATCATGTTTTATTTTTCTTTTTTTATTGTTTCCCTTCTATGTGACTTTACCGAAAGAACCAAGAAGATGTAGTAGCTACTTTTGCTACTACGACTGCCACCGAGGGTCGCTTTCATTTCCCCGGAGGAGGAGAATAATAATAATAAAAACCACCACGTCTGCGCATGGCTCTGGTACAATGTCACCGTTGTTGTTGCTGCTGCTGCTGCTATCATCACGGCGTTTGTTTTACCCAGGGAAAGCCTCACTGGGTCTCAAGACTCCTGCCAAGTTCTCGCGGCAGGCAGGAAAGCTATCGACGTGCGAGATAAGTCGGTTGGGCCGTGATCAGACTCGTGAGACACTCCCTCCGCCAAGCCCACGAGGTTCTGACGGGCAACAAGAAGAAGAGCGTTCATTGTGCGTGGAGGGAAGGAGCGTGGAGGGGGAGAAGGGATCCCTTACTGGGAGCAGAGTCTAAGCCCGAACTCCCCCCCCCCCCCCCCGTGCCTGCCCTAGCAATGCCACTTTGCGAAACAGCGCCGCAGGCAATGCCTGGGGCATCTCTCAGCATCCATTATTATAGAATATTTTTAATTATGATTAAACAAGGACCCCGATACAAAGCGCCAGCGACAGTCGGGGTGGGATGGGGGGGTTCATCTATCCATTATACTGGTAGGAACGAAGTGGACCAGACCACCAATAGATTAATGTGTCCGTCCGTCCGTTTAAACCTGTCTGCGATAACTCTCTTAGCGCTGCGTGTATGACCTATCCGGACGAGTCTAATATATTAGCGAGGAAGTTGAAAGCAGGGGGTGGTTGATCTTGGATGATTCTAGATTTGAAGTTTTTGGTGACTGCAAGGATCCATTCTCTTGGTTCTTTCGGTAAAGGCACGTAGGTAAAGAAAATAATAAATAAAATAAAATGAAAGATAAAAATGAAATATAAATAAATCACGACGTTTCGATTGCAACACAATGATGATGGTTGCTTGTGTTGCAATCAAAACGTCGTGATAAAATTTTATTTATTTTTATATTTTATTTTATTTCTTTTATTATCTTTACCTACGTGACTTTACCGAAAGAACCAATCTCGGATGATGGTTGGCACAGGCGGACCGCCGTGCTCCATGTCGCTTCACGTTGTGATGGAGGCTGCGTTGCCAGACGCTAAGTGCAGGAGCTTCCAGTTTACACGGTACGGATATAGCAAGGCTGTAATTGTAATATATATTTGGGGGGACACATCCCCCCCCCAATATTCAAATATGCTCAAAATGTCCCCCCCTCCCAATATATTGCTATAAAAATAATAATAATTGCTATGCTATGTAAATAAAAAGAACAATTTGCTAAACCTTGGCCACAATATCTGGACTTGTCTTCATGTAAATCAATGCATCGATTTCTGTTCATATGATTGTGGTTATGTTTGTTCTTTATTCATCCCTAATCTCTGCCATTACATACGATGAAACAAGAAATGGTAAAAAATATGAAAACAGAGCAATGTGATACAATACACTATTAGACATTATTGTCAAAAATAAATCAAAAGTCCATCCCATGTGTTGGTGAATTTTTTTTATATTTTAGGCAGGAAATTCGTTTTACAATTTAGATATTTTTCTGGGTTGGGACCCCCAGACACCCTGGAAGATTTGGTCCCCCCCCAATGTTGACTCCATGGCTATGGCCTTGGTATATAGTAACCCCGCCCTTTCACCAGCCCGCACGAACCAACAAGGTGAAGTATGGTCAACTAACCGTCAAAACCGACGCAGCGTGCAACATTCCTTGTCCGTGGCATCAGGGCCGGATTAATGTTCTTGGAGGCCCGAGGCGCTTCTGATTCTGAAGCCTTCTGTGAACACATTCCTGCGGAGGGAGCTGGTAGGAACGTTGGGTTGCTCGGTCAATGGCCAGGGTCAACGGCGGCGTGGTGTATTCCGCAAATATGCCCGACTGTGAGGGCGGGCACAAGCCGGCGTGAGTAGGTTAAACGTTGAGTTTTATAAGGAAACCACGGGGTGACCAGCCCATCCCCACCCAGCCCCACCCTACCTACCCAGCCCCAACCTCCCCACCCAGCCCCTCCCCACCCTCCCCACCCAGCCCCTCCCCACCCTCCCCTCCCCACCCAGCCCCACCCAGCCACTCCCCACCCTCCCCTCCCCACCCAGCCCCACCCTCCCCACCCAGCCCCTCCCCACCCTCCCCTCTCCACCCAGCCCAACCCTCCCATTTTTGGATGCACGACTGACGGACGGACACAATAATCCCCTGTGGGCTGGTGGAACCAGGAGGTTCCTACCAGTAAGACTCTCTGCAACTGATACTGCTGCCACCCCACCACACTACCTCTACGGTCGCTTGTGTCACGCGTAGCACAACGACGCATTGTCTCCCCTTGTTGCACTATTACCCTCTTGAGAAATGGGATTAGGGGCCGTCCATAAATGACGTCACGCAAATTTGGACGATTTTTTTACCCCCCCCCCTCGTCACACGGCGTCACAAAAAGTCAGACCCCCCCCCTTAAATATGACGTCACAAAGCTCTGCCCCCCCTACCCCCCCAAAAAACAATATTTCCATTTTGAAAATAAAACATTCTTCAAATCGCTTTAAACTATTGTCATTGTAGTGCGTATTTAATGTGGCGCAACACTCTGATGTTGTAAGAGTGTTGTTATAACAATTTGTGTTGTTATTACAATTATATATTTTAAATTATTATTATTTTATTTCTATTATTATTATTTTATTTTTTTATGTTTTACCTACATGACTTTACCGAAAAAACCTAAGAGTATGAATCCTTGCAGTCACGAAAGCTTTAAATCTAGAATTCTATATTTATTTAAAGTTGCGCATTTTTATGTGACGTCACATTTCTCAACCCCCCCCCCCTCGTCACACATCGTCACAAATGTCTGACCCCCCCCCCCTCCTAGGTGCGTGACGTCATTTATGGACGGCCCCTTATGCGAAAAAAACTATTTGAAGATGTTATTTGCTGATATTAGCAATGAAACAAATGACAGAGAAGTTCATCTCAGGTGTTAATTTCTCTCTCGCCTTGTAAAAAAAGCGATTCACATTACTGCCTCTTTGTTGTACACACTGTGCATATCCTCGCTATATAAATACAATTAT